AGCGTTATACCCTGTATAGTTCCATTGTTACTTCAATAAATTTACTGTAAATTGACTGATTCATTCTATTTATTTATGCTTGGTCAATTGAGTCGAACTGAGCAATTTTCAAAAGTGAAACAGTAATGGATACAAAGGATAACATGTCCTGCTGAATGAGGTATAATTTGATCCCCATTTTCATTAAAAAAAAACGATGGTTTGAATCGCACTATCAACTTAATCATCAACCAAAAATTGTATAGATATCATAATTTATCAATCATGAATGATTTTTTGAAAACAGAATTATTTAGCGACGATAAATTGAAATAAAATATATGTGACCTGATGATCACAAGAGATTTCAAAGTATTATTTCTGAGGAGCAAAACCAGTAATGAAATTCATCAAGATTTTTCAGGAGAATGAAAAAATCAGAATCAATTCAAATTTATTGTAGGAAATAAAATACATCTCACGTATAATTATTAACAATATTAAATATCTCCAACTCTCATTTCAACAATAATATTATGTTTTAATCACAATCTCTTGAGAAGAAATCAACTAAAAAGTAAGTAGACTATTTTAATATTCATACAATCCACTTTTCCATCTTATATACACCTGTAAAATAGTACAACAAACCTTATAAAATAAATTAAGTGATTTAAAGATGACCCGATTTCAAAACTCAATAAAAATTAATATCGAGAAGGTTCTTGCAGGTTATTTCTTTATATGTAAATCATGAGAGTACTTAAACAAACTTAAAAAGCAATCAAACATTTCCAAAAAGCATCAATAATTTATCCTTAGCACATTAAAAAACTCAGTCGAAGATTTTTCCATTTGATGGAAAAAATAGAAACACATTTTATGCCTAAAAACAACTAAACATGAGATTTAAAATAGGCCTCTATCAAAACAAATAAATATAAGAGACCAAAATCACAATAATCAAATACTTCCATAAAATCGAAATTGTACAGGGCTAAACCAATAAACGCACTCGTACCCAAAAAAAATGTAATACAATTTTCGTAGATTCCGCGAAGAGAATTGTGATTCACAATCCGACTTTTCCGAAGTTATGTCAACAAAATCTGAATTAAGAACCATAACAATTTTCAAAACTGTCAACTCATATCTTTTATAACCAACTGCCATCAGATTAAATTAGATAGATATTAAAATATATCGGAATTTATTCAAACCAATCAACAAATATACAGAAAATTTTGGCAAGCGTTGACTAGTATTAGCACGATGTGGGCGCAATCACCGATTCATTATTGTTATATGAGTTGACTCGAAGCAAACATGAAATGACGAGGCACTCAACTTATTTGGAGCCAATATTACTGGAGTTTTTCCCAACACCAAATCGATATTTTCAACACCTCGACACGTGTTTCGATCACTGAGTGATCATCTTCAAAGAGGAAGAAGAAAAACAGTTTTAATCTTCCTCATTGAAGATGATCACTTGGTGATCGAAACACGTATCGAGGTGTTGAAAATAACGATTTGGTGTTGGGAAAAAACTCCAGTAATATTCATTACTACACCAAAGTTTCCAAACAGTGCGCATCATAAGTTATTTGGAGCCCTTGAGAAAAAAGTTACAAGAGTTTTGTGAAGGTCGATATCTCAACATGATGAATATATGTAATAATTATATTTAAAACATTTCCATCCTATACAAAATTCTTGATTCAACGCCATTATTACGTCACCAATAGGCGGCATGATGACCTGTCGTATTCCACAACTTTGATCAGGTTCAAAACAGTATAAACGAGTATGAACAAGTACAAGGATGTTTTTCAACTCGCATGAAATAATTGCTTCATAACAGACATCACAGAACCCTTATAATTTCTATTCCAGAGCTTCAATACTATTTTGAAATATTAGCTCCTTGCCAGTTTATTAACCACAGTATGTTATTGAAAGGTCCACTGTCGATAATTTCCGAGTTATGGTAACCCTGAATAAAAATCGGACTTTTTGGTGCTTGGCCAATGTTAAAGCCAATGTCACCATATTATTCTGTTTTTCTTAAAGATTACCAAATTTTCAATGTTTTTTTTATTTTCTTCCAGTAATTTTCCACATACATTAATTTTAAATATATTTCATTTATAATATTATTTATCAATTTTCTAGAATATATTTGATTTGCCATCTACTAGCTCAAATGATATAATTAGCAATTTTTACGCCATAAATTTCATTCAAGGCGGGGTAGATAGATATAAAACATAATTGGGTAAATAATTGATTCAGGTGAAACAGGTAGATTTTGAAAAAACAATCACAATGCAATATTACTTCTGGGAAGTAATATTGCATTGTGATTATTATTGTGATTATATTCATTTTTGGCATTTTATGAAAACAAGTTCAACAATGAAATTAAAAGTGAAACTGAAACATCTGGTGTAGAATAAATCCAATACAAGTACTTTTTACAAACACCAGAACTGCAATACTCTCTTCTCCATCTCCTGAAGACGTGAACTTGGTTGGTGTCGTGTAGAGTATTGCATTTATGGTGATTGGGGAAAGTGATTGTTTTGGATGTTCAACAAAGGTAACTGAATGAATAAATTTTTGTTGGTAATTCAAAAGGAACCTTGAATATTCTGTTTGGTTTCCGGGTTTTGCCGTGGTCTTCTTCGGGGTCAATCTACAAACCTTTCAACTGCAACTGCGGCAGTCATCCTCAATGGCGTGGTCGAAGAACTCTTCTTGACGTATCAACTGAATACCTCAAGAAGAGTAGTTGAACCACGCAAATGAAGGTGACTGCCGCAGTTGCAGTTGAAACGTTTGGAGATTGTAGCCAAAGAAGACCACGGAAAAGCCCGGAAACCAATTAAAACAATGACGCCTGTCGTGGAAGCCTTCCTATATTAGAAAACTTGAATGTTCGCATTTATTAATTTCCAGAAATAACAGCAAGTTTAGTTTTCGTACTTCACTTTCTATATGTAATATGTCGTAGTCTATGCCAAAACCGTGGTTGATCTCTTGAAGGTTGCAAGCTTAGGTGAAAGTGGTTTTCATTAGTTTTGGAACGAAAATATCGAAAAATAAAAAGTTTTGAAGTGAAGAAACTTTTTATGTTCGGAGATTCTCTTCTAAAACTAAAGAAAACCAATTGTAGCTAGGCTTGCCACGTTTTGGAGGACAACCACGATTTCAACATGGACTACGACAAATTTTATAAGGAAAGTAAAGGACGAGAATTAAATCTGCTGCAATCAATATCTCTCAATAAGTATACGAAAATATTCTAATTTCCTTTTGAACATATGAATTGACATATTTATAAATTACTTGTTCTCCTAAAAGTATTATTGTATTATTTTTTTTAATTTGAAACGAGTCGTGAACAAAAATTATATTTTGAAAATCATACAATTATTATCAAAGATACTGTTAATTTTCATCGAGTAACATCATCAGTATATCAATGATACGTTATAAATTGCATGTTGAACGTGTTTTCAACTCATAAACTTCATTATCTCGAAAACTATTGACAGCAGAACTTTCGTAATCTCTGGACTTCTTCAGTGACTAAAACTCATATTTTTTTCAAAATATGAATGCCAGACGCATTGGACGAAATGGAAATGGTTTTCTTCAACGATTTTTTTCATAACAACGGTAGCGAAAACTTCACACACTTTGTTTTCCTCTTTATACAGCTTTCACAGTTGACAATTGGAAAAAATCAAAGATTATATAAAAACAAGGAAAATGTGAGAATATGTACCCAGAAGTCCCAACTGAACTTTACAAAAGTTATTATGATTTGCAGGAAGATGTGCATCATCTGTTTCTGCACGAAGTATTGTATATTAGTGTAGCTCACTAGTTTAATTTCACATTAATTTCTGGTCGCCTTCATCAAAAATTATGATTGAATTGTCATTCCATTCGTAATTTCACAAAGGGAAATTTATAATTTGTGCCAAATTTAAGGAACGGCCTGAAAAGCTGAAAATTTACTGAAGAATTCTGTCTCCCGGAACTATAGTTCAAATATTTATAGTTTCAATTCGTCGGTAAAGATACATGTAAAAACGCGATTCTCGATTCAGTAGCTTCAGCAAAAAAGCATATGAATATTAAATATTAAAACAAGTTGAATACGTGGTGAATATTTGAGTTATAGTTGAGCTAGTCAGAAATTGTTATCGCGATTTTCTTTTCATTTCTTTTCATTTATGATTTTGGTGATCAACAGTTTTTTTCGTGTTGAAAGTTTCACATGAAAGTCTGAGAAATTTTTTAAATTGGAAATTGTTTTTTTTCCTTTTTTTGTGATTTAATTTTTAGACTTCAGAAAAAATTCCTGCTGAAAAAATTGAAAAAATTCAATTCTCCATTTATTCATGATTATTCAGATATGTTGAAAAGTTGAAAAATGAAACATTGAATTTTTTTCCCAAAAATGACTGGATTGTTTTCTTATTGATGAAAGTGATATCAATACGATTTTTTTAATTTTTCATCATTACTGTTTGAGAAATTATTATAAGCGAATGCATTGCTTATGAAATTATTAATTTTGTTTAAAAATACATAAATTCAATATTCAAGTAGAAATTTTAAAATTCCTTATTTTTTTAAAATTGTTCATTGCATAATAATTAATTTCGACAATAAATATTAATAATTGAAAATCGTTCCGTTTCAGAAATCATTGTTTTCTCTCCTGTTTTGAATTTTGAAGAAACCTATTTTTTCTGAAATTTAATTATTTTGATATTCAATTTGTTATAAACGAATGAATTTTTACACTTTTTCTGAAAGTAACCATATATGACTTCGAAAAAGATTTTTTCAATAATCGAATAGAACTGGCCGATAATTCATGAAAATCCATATTGAAACTAATTAATACAGTTTATTGCATGATTTTCACTATAAAGAAAGAGTTTTACAAAAACCACGGTCTTCGTAAAACCCATTCTTTAAAGTGAAAATCATACAATAAACTGTATTAATTAGTTATAATTTTTTCAAATAAAAAATGTTACATGGTTATTTTTATTAAGTCTTCTACTATTATTAATAAGTATCACATGTGAAAATGAATTTGTTTATAGAAAACTGTTTACAACATTTAGGGTAGTGATTAATTTCTTTCAGAACAAAATAGAGCTGTGAAAATAATGATTTTTCAAAAATGAAGTGAATATCAGATTAACCGTTTCCCAAAGAATTAATTTATCTCATAAACAATATAACAGTCAAAAAAGTGAAAATGGTAAATAAAAAAACATATTTGTATAGCTTTCATCATTGAAAACAAATTGCAATATTCTCAAAAAATATTCACTGTTTTTTCACATCTTTTGTTGTTCATACGTGAAAATAAAATTGAATTTATCAAACTCCCAACTTCCAATACTGAAAGGTCTCTCTGATAGAAGTAAAGCAATGCAAAAACATATGAAGATATCCCCAGATGTAACATCAGAGATAGATGTGAGGAAACACAATTCCTAAATACATCTGTATGAACATTGCCAAACAGCGATAGAATCTTTTCACAAGCACTTGGCATGAAGTTTACAGCTGCCTCTTGTTACTTGAACACGATAAGAGATCCTACAGAGAATGATAACCTTTAATAGAAGGATGGTTACATCAAAACGTATCACGACAAATAGCATTCCAGGTCAGTAGAGGATTTTACTCGAATTGCATTTCTGTCATCAGTTCACGTATTGAATAAATTTCCCTCAGAAAGTGTAGGCAAAAGAATTTGCCTCTGTTTCATTCATACGGCTCAATGTGTGCGTCCAACAGCTTCTAATGGTTAAAGTCACTTTACCGCTTAATGTGCCAAATGGTGATTTCTGAATGTAGTTGCCGTGTGAAATAGAAGCAATTTCTTCCTGGACGCAGCCAATAATTGAGATGATTGGTTGTTTTAGTCTCTAGATCGAATAATTGCAGTAAAATTCATATGTATATCCTATTTACAAGCCAACATGTTTATCAAAATTGTCTCTAAGTCCAATAAATGTTATTTACGTAATCGTAATTTACGTAATTTATATAATCACTGGAAGATTATTATTATCGATTTCTCAAAACAAATCGACATATTGATTCAATTCGAAGTCAAAACCAATGCCAAAGTTCCATTTAATGGAAATCTGTTAAAGAAAATGTTTCTCCAAGTTACAGACTTTAGTGAGTGACAGTGTTAAAATAAATTCAATTAATTGCAGAAGTTCACAAAATGTTCAGTTGGGACTTTCACAACATTAATCTCATTTCCAAATAGATATACTGACTATCATTAATCATGGAATTAATCCTTAATCCAGAAAACTAAACTGCTTCACAGTTTTACCTGTGCTCAATATCGTCCCCGACAAAAAACGAGAGTGAATACCTATATTCAAAAACATCATTGTTTAGCCTGTACTCTTCAATGCCTCAAGCCTTCACTCGCCCTTTGTAACCACAGCTTCTTCGTCAGTCTCGTTGTCTGATTCATCAGATTCTTTGGAACCGAATCTTCTGCGGAACTTCACTTGACATTCTTTCATCTTGAAGCCTATCAGCGGATGCAGGGCAGACTGCAGAGACGTGAACAGTTTCGGAAAGAGTATTTCTTGTTGGGTGAGAAGTTGTTTGATTCTCTGGCGTTCTTTCGTGAGTTTTGGACTGGAAGAGCTGGTCAGGACTGGTAAGTTGGCATTGGTGCTGAATTGACGGAGTGCCTTCTCTCGGACGTAGACGAAAGGTCGTATCACACGAACATCATGTTCCCTAGAACCAAAATGAATTATGTTTCAGTGAACTAAAACACACTACGTTTGTTTGTGACCTAAATATTTGAAGAATTCCGTATGATGTCACAACAAGCTGTTTGGTGTGCTGTAAACCAGCTTCTGAAGGGGTCCTCACAGAATAAATGAAGACTGTTGAACCTGGGCATCTAGGTGGTATGATTGTTATTCTAGGTGCCCTATCCAATCATTAATGTATTGTTGTTTCAAAAATTTCCGTACCTGGAGACTGATTTAGACGTAAATGAATCATATGATTTATGCACGGAATAGGGGCGTCGCCTATCAAATTTGGTAAACTCTGTTCAAGAAACTGGCAATAATTATTTTCGTCCAAACTGCCGGGTGGAAAAATCCCCAGTTGGATAATTAGTAATAATTCAAGATCGAACAGTTATCGAAAGTCAGCTTCTTTCATGAAAAATATTTTGTTTTGACATTAAATTGGAAATTTTTGGCCTCCATTTGTGACAACCAGAAATTAATTTTCAATGGAAAATCTCAAGAAAGTAAGGCGTGGACTAGTTGAATATGATGAGGATATAATAACAAATAATCATGAATATTTATCCATACTAGAACACCAAGATACAAATCATTTGTTTTTTCTCTTACTCATTTCAGGGTTCTCTTCAATTAAATTTCAAAGACCTTCTTCGGTTTCCGCTATTCGTACAGTATGGAGTAGTTTTTTGGTTGAAAAGATTCTTTCCACTCGTGCATCCGAAACTATTCTATTCTAGGGTCTTTCATTAGGTCCTATCTTCCAATTAAAATGAAACAAAATGTGTGTTAGAGATATCATTGAATTTTCATATTCGTTCAAAGACCTATTGATGCCATTATGTGTGAAATATAACATTATTCAAATGTCCGCCATGGTTTTTTTGGGTCGAGCGCATCCTCTGGCGCCTAAGTAAGGATGAACTTGACCGATGACATGGATTATGTTGGATTTGAAAATAACTGTAGTTTGTGGCTTATTTGCACAGAAATTTTATATTTGCACATGTTTTGGTAATGAGTGATTTTTTTGATGGTATCTTTTTAGCATCATTGTTTTTGACAGATCGCGCGTGAATCGTGTCTTGTGTCATTGTCGAACTTGTTCGGATTGGTCTATAATTTAACCATGAATCGACTTACGAATTAACAACGCTTGCAAATTATTCAATTTCATTATCAAAATGCATCGTGCACTTCTTCCAATTTATGGGCAGTTTCGTCGACCTACTGAGGGAGCTATTCGGAAGCTTCTAACTAAATTTCGAACCTAGTTTACATTATTGGACATTAAACTACCAACACGCATACGTAGAGTGAGGACCGAAAAAAAAAATTGCGACTGTATCCGCCAGTGTTCGTGATGACCGTGAAATGTCGATTCTCCGTGGTTCGCATGAATTGGGCCTCTGTTACTCCACTACGTGGAAAATTTTGCGAAAAGATTTGTATAAAACCTTATAAGATACAGCTGGTGTAAGAATTGAAGCCACATGACCTCCCACAACGTCTAACAGTTGGAGGAAAAATTGTGTTCAGCGACAAGGCTCATTTCTGGTTGAATGGATACGTTAACAAGCAAAATTGCCGGATCTGGAGTGAAGACCAGCCACAAGCATTGCAAGAGCTACCGATGCATCCCGAAAAAATCACTGTTTGGTGTGGATTATGGGTCGGTGGCATCATCGGGGGCCGTACTTTTTCAAAGACGACAATGGCCGAAACGTTACTGTGAATGGCGAGCGCTACCGTGTGACCATTGATGACTTTTTATTGCCCAAAATGGAAGAATTGAACATGACAGACATGTGGTTTCAACAAGACGGTGCCACATGCCACACGGCACGCGAAACAATGGCTCAATTAAGAGCCGCCTTGGGGCCCGTCAATTGGCCACCTAGATCGTGTGATTTGAAGCCTTAGGATTATTTCTTGTGGGGTCAAGTTAAGACTCATGTCTATAGGGATAAACCAGCTCTGGAAGTCAATATTGGGAAAAAACTCCAGTAATATTCATTACTACACCAAAGGTTCCAAACAGTGCATCATAAATTGGAGTATTTCATTTATACGTGAAATACCGGTCGATATGTTAGAAAGAGTGTGCCAAAATTGGAACTTGCGTATGGGACATCTAAAGCGGAGCCACGGACAACATTTGCATGAAATCATCTTCAAATATTGAATTATATTGATCGTTCTATCGATTCCAATGAAGATACTCATCATCAATTTTTTCAAATTTTTTGTGTTGTTTTGAAAATCAAATCCTGTACCTCTTAAAAAATCACCCGTTACATCCATCCATGGTGATGTGGTAAAACAGAATGAATAAATGACAACTAATTTGACAGATGTACCAATTGTCAAAGTTTGAAAGTCCCTTTTTGAAGACCCTATATCTGGATAACATTCTTGGTGTAATCGTCTAGCTTCAAATGCATTGCCATCAGCAAGCCCATTTATGCAAAAATGCCTCATGCCAGAAGAAAAAATGCCTGGAATTCGAATTCGCTTCAAAATGAATGGTGCCTATTTTTTCAAAAGTATTCACTCTATATTCCTGTACAAATGCCACTGAATGAAATATCATAAAATCTTCTACTATAATGAATGGCTGTTGATGCTTAGATGGCGTGTGCTGAATTTCAAAAAAATGACAAGGACCTTGTTGAAGTTATGATGAAAACAAGTTTTTCCTCAAGATTCCAACACCCTGCAGCTAAAAAGTTGAAAGATTCAATACAAAATTTCATTTGTTTTTTTCTTGTTTTCTAATCACCTCCTCAAAGATCAACTTGCCATTCTGAAACACCCTCACTATGTTGCCTCATATTATGACTGACGACTTCAGTTTCATTTCACATGATGTTGGTGAAATTTGACTTTCAACCATTCCGATACTTTTACACTTACCAACTAGTTACTATATATGATAAATAATCTATAAAATCCACTCACTTGGTGTAATAATGAGCCCTCATGGTTCTCAATTTTCCAGTATGAAATACAGAAAGCATAAAACTTTCGCAGAGATCATCCAAGTGTTGACCAATTGCTAACACGTTGTAACCAGAACTCTTTACTGAAGAATACAATCGATGCCTCATCGTGGTGGTACAAAAACTATAAAAGTTTTCTTTTGGTTCCTCTAACTTTTCTGAAGAAAGTAAACACGAATAACGAATTATTTCATCAATAATCACCATAGTTACCTGGTTCTGTTCCAACATCACATTTCTTGTCGTCGATAATGTAGTGAACCCCTAAACTCTTGAGGTGAGGTATTAGCGCACATGGATCACATCCAGACGAATCTGGATCCACTGTGAGAGCTCCGATACTGAACAACACCCCGTTATTCTTGGCATGATTCTGGTACTGCAGCAGTGTATGTAGAAGACAGAGCGAGTCTTTGCCTCCCGAGAGGCAAACCATTACTTTGTCTCCGTCTTTCACCATATCAAACTCATTGATAGCTTCGACGGAAGGTTCCCAAATGGTTTTCTTCGGGCAGGTATATTTCGTAGCTAATGTTTCCAGTAGGTTGGCATCATCACTGAGATCTCTGAATATTCTAGGTCTTTGTTTTTGGAGAGTAGAAAATCTAACTTCAGAATCCGACCGCCTGTGGCCGTGAAGAGATTCGGAGTTACTCCGAGATTTGAACTCCCCGTTTGAGTATTGCTCTTGCTCGTGAAAAGACAGGTTGATTCCGCTGTCTTGACTGCTGACGCTAGCCACCGTCGAGGAGAGTATTTTGTTTTTGTGAGCTTTCTCGTCGACGTTTTGTTCGTCAAGTTTATGCGAACTCACGGATTTGTTGATGACTTGTTTGGCAATTTCGCTATTAGAAGCAGGAGAATGAGTCTTGAGTTCATGGTCGAGGGTAGATAATTGTTTTTCTTCGCTACATGTTCCTAGGCTGGATGTTCTTGAAAAGGGGTTTTTGTCTTGATTATCAGGAGTGATAAAAACGTCCACAGCACTTACTACATCACGAATTTCAGACTTGACCTCATTAGCCATTTCTATCGAAACTTTCTCTAAGTACTCTGCCACCTGAAAAAATAATTCGTGTGAAAATCTGTGAAAAAACTTTTATTGCTCAAGTTTATGAGGTGGGCGTATAGGAAAAGCCTGGGAGCTAGGTCAAGATACCATAGAAATTGATTGAATTGAAAATTTTATCATCATTGAATCGACACTTGGTGTTTTAAATAAACAGAATAATTTATTCAAAATCGTACTAACATTAAAAAAATTTGCGTGTTCGTTCAATGCGAGCCTAGAAACAATGCGGTTATAAGATCGAAAAACACATACTCGACTTACACACACAAATTACACACAAAAATTGAAAAAATTATAACAGAAACCTAAAATAACTTATTCTCTACTCAAGAAGCCTGCACTGAATTTTAGAGCAACAGAAACAGAATCTGCATCATGAAAGAAAACAAACTCCCATTGAGAAAGTCAGTAAAGGCTTATGCTCAAACGATGATTCAGCCAAACCAGAGACGATAAAACCTGTATGACTGGATCCTCTGTGTTGTCAGGTACATCTAACTCACAGATGATCTCATATAAAAACGTTGCTGCGGGCATTACAGTGTTATTCTTGCACGTTAAACATTCGATCACATCAGTATCGATCAATCAACTGGAATGACTTCAGTTAGCCATAATAGTTGCCGTAGAGAATATTCCAGAAAAGGTAGGATTCTAGAGCTGAACAGTCCGGTTTGGATGACTACAGGTTACTTGAAAAGATCAGAAGAGCTCATCTCTGACTGATCTAGATTGAGGAAAATGAATCAGGATCTCACAACTTTCGAGTGTATTAGTTTTTACGAGGAAGTTCTGGCCCTGTAATATTATCTCAGCTTCGATTAATCAATATTCAATAAGCATCCAAAATTTGTTAGCAGATTCTCAGGTACGATGCTAAGACATCAGACGGCATTGACCTCAGTCCCAAAGTTCCATATGAATTGTATGCTTTTCTGCCTATGGGTTATGAATAATTAACAAAGTTTAGTCCAAGATCGAAGAAATCTTCAAAAAACGGATCCAAAGGAAAATTACACATCTTTCTTTTCTTCTCATAATTCCGATCACGTTTTACTGTCAACTTTTTAAATTCAGTCGACCATTTCATTTTTCCAATTGTATTTCAGAAGGCGTGAAAAACATGAATACAAACTAGGAAAGATGATGAGGAAGAGGTACAACACTTCTCTGTCAGCATGGATACTCTGCTCTCAGCAGGAATACAGACCACAGAAAATATGCCTGCTCCGTCATGGTCCGGAACAGATTTTCAACGTTTGGCAGAATCTCACTCAATCCGGTGATCACCACCAATGAAGTAATCGGCTTTGTTGAAAATCTGAATTAGTTTGGTCGAGTTTGGTCAACTGACTCTTTTTGGAGTGAGCTCAATTCCATATCTACTTATCTGATCTATATTCATGTGTGATCATAATGAATTTCTCAAAACAGTAACGTTCATGTCCATGATACAAGGCAAATTATTGTCTATCACATAAAGGTAGAACATATAGCATTTTCTAATTCCTCTAATATACAGGGTACTGAAATTCATTCATGTCAAATAGATAGAACTCGGAATTCATTCAAGAATGAATAAAAAGTGTTTCCAATGAATATTAATTATTTCTCAGTTCATTTATTTCTCTCAATATTTTTTCATTTTGAAACCAGTTTGTAGTTAATCCGCATGTGACTTGAAAATTGGTACTGTGTTGTGTGAAATTTTATTTATAGTGTGAATATGTATAACATAAATTTCACTTTTATGGACTTCCATCGTCTAATATGATTCTAATATGAATCAAAAGTAAGTTACTTCACGACGTCTTTGGGTGATGACTGAATTATTCCCTCGTGAGACTGTTTATAGATCATTCGAGCGCTTTCACCTATCCCCTCTTACCTGTCTTCGTTTCACCGGTTTAGCGGGAATTGAAAGATTTTCCGTTGGACTTCAGGTTTCCATATAATACCTATCTCTACGCTTGTATGACTGAATTAGTTGTTGGACAATATATTGATCTCAACTTGGGACCACTTGATTTTATGTTGATGAATCCTAAATGCTCTATTATTCCCGATTTGCTTCCCGAGTTTCTCCACGCTGTGAATTTTTCTTGTGCTCGGCAATGCAAACTTTCTTGGCCTCTTGGTTTCACCGATTTACGATTCACCGCACTAACAGGGTATTCAGTAAATGTAATTCTTGGAATCGCAATTCACGTTTGGTGGCCTAGTGAAAGCGCTCGAATGACCTATAAATAGTTATCTCACGGAGGAATAGTACAGTCACCAACCATACAGGAAATTAAGTTTTATAATCATTATCTCAATATAATACTAACAATACTCATAATAAAAATATCACATTATAAAATATTTAGGCATTTGTAATGAATAGTATCAAAAAATATAAATGTTTTTCAATATTTTTTTCAAAAAACGCCAATGTTCAATATTCCAATATGTTTCAGTATTCTCCAAAAGTAATCATTCTGCTGAGAATTGCCAAAATTATTAATTATCGTTTTGAGGATTTCTTCGCACGTTCACTGAAACAAGACAATATTTTGATTTTATGGATGTATTGAGTAGGCCTGAAGACGTACTTTTTGATTTTATAGGGTATTTTATTGTTTCTGTCAAAACGTCTCTGAATGCTATGTTTATCTAATTTCTTATAACCATTTATAGTTGAAGATTTTTGTTTATGAAGTTGATGTTGAATGAAAAATGAACACCAGCGATGGATTTCGCAGTAGAAATTATAACTTTGGGAGGTCCTCAATTGCTTACATTGAGCCTTTTGGTGATTTGACTCAGCAAAGATATATTTTTCGTTTTGTATTATTTCTTGGCATTTGGCACTCAACTTATTTTGACATCTTACAACCCACTTCTGACTCCAGCGAGGCTCAGTCGGTGTATACCCTAAACTTTGTAATGACACAATTCATTATTCTCATGCAAAGATATATTCACTACCTTATACTGAAATGAGTCCTTTATAAGGTTTTTATGTCCACTAAAAAGTGCTTACCTCATTCGCAGAAATCGAATCACTTCTTCCATCTTCACTTCCACTCCCGTGCCTTTCATAAAACGAAGGAATACTATCACTATTCTCCAAAACATCTTCCACTTTGGATATAACTTCTCTGATTTCAGACTTGATATTGGTAGCTAACTCTTTCGTCATTTCGGTGACGTAGGTCTGCAAATCAGGACCGGGCGATGCTCTACCACACTGCAAACAATCGAACGTATTTGCCAGAAAGTTCAAGCTGTGTGTTGGAGACATCTGGTTGGAGTCTGATTCCAGAGAGTTAGGCTCGTTTTGGCTACTGTAACTGAACTGCCTTTGTCTTGTGTTCATCCCCAAACTCACTCTTGTCGAAGGGCTTAGAACGGGAGGAGACACATTGGTATTTCCTAAGCTGAAACAGCGTTCCCTAGCGAAACTCTGCTGTAAGTGTTGATTCAAATTCGCAGCATTAACTGCTTCTCCAACGGCGAAATTAACAGAAGGCTGGGAAATTTGGGGGTAATACAGCCCATTCACGTCTTGCAAAAAATATGGCACAGGTGACGAACAAGTTAACAAATGGGGATCATCGATGGAAGGAAGACTATAGTGCCTGGGGGATCCCCCAGGATTATTTAAGGTTTGATTCGGGTATCTACCAAGATCGCTGTCTCTGTCTTTCGCTTTGCCACGGTCATGTTTCTTGCAAAATAAGTTATTGGCAGGATCAAACGGGACCTTTTGTTTGACATTTTGTGCATTGCTGGTGAGTAAGCTCTGAGCTTCGTGTTGTAACATGAACCATCGCAATTTTTCACTTCTAGAATCGAACTGAATACCCTGGTCTTGGTAAGGGCCTCTGTTGGCAGTTTTTCTAGCTCTATTGAATAAATTTCTGGCAGTTTGAAGACACTCGGAGTGGCTTTGAGGAAACAACCCTGGTCCGGAAATCCTCCTTTCATTCATGGTCATTTTACCATCGACATAACGGATAGAAGAGAGCCACTTTCTGTCCTTGGAGGCTGGATTCGAATGGTGTCTCCATTCAGCTGTTTCTAGATCCACCACATATTGAGGCAAGAGTTTCCAACCTTCTGTAGCGACCATTTTAATAGCTTCCATGATGAACGCCAGTTCAGCATCGTTTATGAAATACGGAAGACTGATTCTAGTGAAGCCTGGTCTGAGTAGTTCTAAAGTTGAATTCTCCACACCTAAATTCAAACTGCTCAAGCGCCTGAAAACAGAAGCAACTCAATGAGGAAAAAATGTTGGTCGATAAATAAATATGGAAAACAAAATATGTGGTATCACTGTCAGAACATTTCAATTGTAAGTATATTTAAAGAAAATATTTTTTGTGAGAGCTATTTTCAGGGTTTTTTTGGCCTTGGTCTACAGATCGTCTGCTACTACATAGACGATGTGTTAACAGTGACAGTGCCCGAATTGGTGCTTCTGTTGTCACGAATGCATTTCTGAACAAAAATCAGGCATGAAAAGCCGGAAATAGCTTTCACAAATTTATCTCTGGTCGTGAAAGTTCACATTCTATTTCTTCTCTTTGTCACACCGTAGGAATATAATGACCAAAACTCTAGTTGGTTATTTCACTATTTAATTTGATTTACAGTGCTTTCAATTGAAATTTTTGTTCAACAAGTTTTGTAAATCGATGTAATTGGATTTCGAAGTTTGAAAAAATAGAAACCTTAAAAGTTGACAAATTTACCATTCTATCGGATCCTTCAAGAAATGCGATTCCAAAAGGTCTTTTGATTTAACCGTTGTGGGACTCCCTACACAGTGATATATTGCAAATGCGTGCCGGAAACTACTTTTCTGTCCAATATCACGACAGACATTGGTGCAAACTTCCTCGTAGAATAAATTCTCACAGATGATCCCCGCAGCAGAACCAATCGAGTGAACACTTGTACACCAGTTTCAAAGTGTTGCTCCTCATGAGCACAGGACAGATTCAACCAAATCGACATACTGTCAGCTCCAACTTTGCTCACCGCATATATGAATCATTCGTCTGAGAGCTGATCTGTTTCAACTACAATAAAGTCAAACTCTAATATAAAATCAAAACAATTATGATGACTGTGTCAAGGTCAGAAGTACATATTAGGAAAATAGATTGTTCAAATTGAAAGTTGAAAAATCACCCCCACCTTTCCGACACAGTGAGATGTTGTGAATACCTGCCTAAAATCAACTACTTTTCTGGCTATTACCAATATGGACTTTGAAATATATTCAAGAGGCGATTTTGATAGTGAATTTCTGCATATGCTTGTTGTTTGTGCTTCGACGGGATCTTGCTGTCTTTAAACTTGTGATATTTGCCAGATATTTGCCAGGTAGTTAGGAGAACTTAGGAGAAGTGGCTGTTTCGAATTTTTGATTCGAAATAATAGTTCTAGAATTAGAGATCTTCAAGAAGCTGCTAAGAATTGTTTGTCTGGCTCTGAAGCAGGTTCTAACGTTCAACAGACTTTTGAAGAAGAGGAAGGAGTCACCAAATGTTTTTTCTTTTTGAGCTTTTCACGTTTTCTAGCCATTGTCTTTGAGTTTCGTTAAGTTGCAGTAAACTGAACTGGAAAGCCGCGAAATCCAAAATGAGAGAAAAGAAAGGGTAGGTACCTAATTGACCTATAAAGTAGTGTGTAATCATCAAGAATGAGTCTGTCAACACCAGAAGATGATTGTTGATATCAACGATTGATAACATTCTTCGTTTTCTCCACCATTTTAGTTACTATTGATGTTTCTCTACTAACTTTCTCTTTCTAATAACTCTCTTTCTCTAGCACCCTATAATTTTCAATTGACAACAGATATCACATCTTTCTGATACTTAGAAGCCGATTTGCTCACTTGGATATCCTCACCAGCCTGGCCTTCAGTAGAAGTCAATACAAAAATTGTTACCTTCAGTTTTAGAGTCACAAAACCGTTCATATGCGACAAATACTCTAAACAAGGAATGTTACCTGTCACGACCAGAGAAATATATATCAGATGGTTATGTTCAGAAGATTATCATGCCTGATGTTTCACCTACAACTGTGGCAGGTATACTCAAAGGAGGTGTTAGAACAACTAAAGCACTGTCTGTTATCACCGTTGATAACGGTATACGGTATTTTTAAAGGAAACGTGAGTAATGATAACCTGCAGACTACAGCCAACATATCCATGAAATCTATTTACCACACTCACATTGAATCCATGCTGTGATAATGTGACTCACCTATCCTCTAAAATTATATTTTCATATTGATCTGCCAGACTCTGATCTATTCCTAGCAAATCTTGGGCATATGCACCCGAACATGGACAGCCGGCTCTTGCTTGGATTCCAAAAACGTCGTTCAATACGGCGCTCACGAAATTGTGGTGTAAGAAAGTTCCTCTGGGGTGCCTGACCATGAAGGAAAACACCGAAATTCTTTTCAAGTTAGGCGAATTGTTTCCCAGCAGAATTACCTCTGGAATGGTCCTGATGTGTTGTAACATTTGTCTGAAATTGGAAATTTTCAGCTGAAGGAGGATCGAGTACATTTAAAAAACAAATTTAGACTGATGGATAGAAATCAAACTTCATTAAAACGATATTATCCAAATCCATTGAGTTTTTGTAGTGCTTTTCTCAAACTCTTCCCTCAACATTTTAGTATAGCACATGGTATAACTGGTTTATGAATAATGATTCGGCCATGCACTAATGAAACATTTTATCATCAAGCCCATCAATTCTTGAAACCCATAATGATACAACTTGTTAGCAAAGCAATTATTGGGGTTTTGAGTGGTTTCTGTTGTTTGAATGTTTTGAATCGAGAATATGATTATCAACTGTGATCAGTTTGTATAAATTACCAGTTGTGGGCAAATTCTGTGCGATTTTTTATCAGAACAAAACACACTTATCTCGAGTACATATTCTCGAATGAGTATATAAGTGTTTCAAAATAAATGACAAGAAAATATTTCATTTTCGGCAAATGAACACATATCGTTTGCAGCTAATAAACAGTCCAGTTGAAGATAATTATCTTATCAATTTGCAATAAGGGGACGTCCATAAATTACGTGAGGTGTTTGAGGGGGGGAGGGGGTCGAGTCAAATCTCATCTAATCTTACGTTGGAGAGAGGGGGGGTCCCGGCGAATATCACGCAATTTTTTTTCTGATTGAAACAAAAAAATTATACTATTTTGGTCCATTTAATGCAGATTGTATATGCTTAAGATTTAATCTTAAGCGTAATCGTAATACGATTAAGATCATTCACTAATTCGTTCGAAAGAAAATAATTTCATTCATACTTCGACGTTATACGTCTACTGACTGTCAAACAACCATATTTGTTTTATACCAAATAGCTCAATTTGATCTGAATTTACGGTACAGTGTAGCCCGTCCTTTGTTTTCACGCCACTGTCAGCCGAACGCACGACTCGATGAACGAGAGCGTACGAACTCATATGGACATGTTGGTTCCAATAGTCTCTCTTGAGACCGCGCACGATTCTCTATGGACTGAATTAGAGTAGATATTCTTTTCACAGTAGTTACGATTTAAGTAGTCTATTGTTGAATTTTTATTACACTTATAATTAAACTCTCAGTAATATTGATTACTAGTCTTAACTATTCGTAAATAAAAGCACGAAGCAATTTTTTTTCCTTTTTACAATAACCATCCAACGTGTTTTCGCAAGAAACCCACATTTTGAAAAATCTCACGTGAGATTGGGGGTTGGGGGGGGGGTTGAGTAAAATCTCACGACATCTCACCAGGGGGGAGGGAGGGACAGAAAATTAAAAAAAAAACACCTCACGTAATTTATGAACGCCCCCTAAACAAATAAATATTCCATTTTCCATCAGCACCTTTTGATTTTGAACAAAATATGGTTTGCTGGTTATTTCTGTTAAGAGTATTAGTTTCAGAAGTGCAGTTATTTGAGGTAATCGTAATTGGTTTTAAGCATCTTTGCATTTCTTACATCTTTGGGTTTTTATTTCCCATGGAATCAAAAAACTTCTCGAAAACAATCAAAGGAGAAGGGTGGATCACTGATTCACCCAAAAACCAAAAAATTTCACTACTTTCGAATGAAAATTCCGATAAGGATTTATCTCATTATGAATTTTGCTCTCAAATTTAAAAAAAAAGTGTGTATTTTAGAACTTGGATTCTTAATCGTTTCAATGTATGACCAACAGTTCCCTCACATCCCCATACGACTGAGAGGAATGATATTTAAACTGGATAACCCAATAACCATTGAAGGTTATCCGGATATACATCCAGTGGGGTCCAAAGTCGTTCACATGAAAATATATTTAATTTGTGTTCTTTTTCTCAAATCCTTGTAGAAAAAACTTGAAATATTGTACAGAATTGTATTTGTTACATTCAATATCTTTCAAAATTGAATTTTACATACATAATATACTGAATGTTGACATGGTCCTTCCCAAATTATATTTAGACAATACCGCTGTATAAAAATTTACCATACCTTAAAATAAATTGATGGATGTAGCCGTTACTACGTGGTAGGAGATCATAATGAGAGAAATGAAAATTTCTATGTTTTTTACCACTTTTATTTGTAACTGATGTTACTGCAGTTTCGTCCTATATGGACATTCTCAAACTTATACAATAAACTCATTGTATAAGTTTCAGAATGTCAATATAGGACGAAACTGCAGTAAAGTTAGTTACAAATAAAAGTGATTATTAACATAGAAATTTTCATTTTTTTTACCATACCTGTTTACCGTACCTCACAAGTAAGTGATTTTTTACTCAGGTGCTAATTGATGATGTAGCGAAAAGACGTTTCAATCGTTCATTCGAAGTAGTGTTTGTTTTTGAAAAAATGTAATATCAGATTGGTTAATTTTTTGCAGAAGGAGTTTGAAAAACAAGTATATGACCTGAAATAGAAACTTCATGTCTCTAACAATAATAATAGTAACAATAATCGGACGGTAGCTCGTTATGATAGCGTGGGTGGTGTGCTCCACTTACTCACCGACAGTGGTGTGAAGCGGTCGGTGAGTAAGTGAAGCGAAAACAGATTCTTAACAGAATATCAATAATAATAACGAAATTTTGTGGGAAACTCTCTATGAATTGTATTTTCTTGAAAGTAGTCACAAAGGTGACTACTTTCAACAAAATACAATTGTCAGTTATGAAACCATAACCAAATCATATAAAATGTATTAATGATACGTGGAAATAACTAGCATTAGAAGACATATTACTTTTTACTTGGAAAAATAATCGTTTATGAGATATGAGCAAATATTTTGGAAACATTGCTCATAATATTGAAAATATTACTCTGTATGACGAAAAATTAAACACTGTCTAAATATCTTTGTCCTTTAGTTACATTTCAGAATCAAACGTCATACAGACATATGGATAGAAAACTGTATCCGAAAAATATGTTCCTATTCTCTAGACGTGTACATTCAACAACTACTCTTCAGGATAACCAACGGGAATAACACCCAAATCGCATCTCCAATTCACTCTTTCACGGTGTTAGTGCGAATGAGTTGGAAAAGGAAACATTGCTTCTGTAGTGAACAGATAGCCGGACTCGAATCACGGTCGTATTTTTTCAATTTAGTTTTTCCCTTATATTCCGCAAATCTAATCTTTCTTATTTATATTACAGACGCTCAACTTTCTTTTATAAACATTCATAAATCTGCACTGATGTTGTAACCATGCATAGCAGACGATACACGATACTTGGCAGAGTGTGAAAATACCAGTAACAACAACGATCAAACGAGAAATGAGATTGATTGATGCCAGAAGCGAGAGAAATCTCAGGGTCACTGTTATTTCACAAGCGCGATGAAAATTCGAAAGAAAATATCTATCTGTTTTCAACAAACTAGATATCTACTGGTACTAGTGAATATTTAGGACAAAACTGGTAACGTATTCCTAACATAAATGTGTCTAACTTCATAACAGGGCTATAGTGAAATATTTTTCAATTACATTTTTCCCAGCTCATTCAATAGGCGAGTGTAACCACATGAATAGTGAAAGGTGAAGGGTGTTTTTAGGAAGTGAAACGTATTTTTTCCAAGTCTGGACCTGGATTTCACTTTTCATTCAGACGATATTCGACACTATATTGAACGAAAAATGTATGTAGTAAGTATGAAGAAAGTTACTGAAAACCACCTAGATGTTTCCCTAAACAATCTGTTTCTAACCAATGAAATACCTTATAAATGATATTGAATAGAGAAATATTAACAATTTTCAATAATAAATTTGGAATAATAAACTTTGAGGAGATGATACGCAATTCTTTAAATTATTTTAGAGTATTTTCGTTAGACTGTTAAAAAAACTCAGTTTTCATATGATACTGAGCAAGTTCCATATGACAAAAGAAAAATCAGTCATTCAATTTATTAATTGATCCTTATATCAACTTATCTGAAAACTAAAAATGATACTTAAATCATCAAACATTCGATTTCATGATCTTTACTTCAGGACCATCATAGGGATTGTCGGGACCCTTTTTATACGAATTTGGCGCCCCGTTAGAGAATAATATCGAACAAATTTAAACCGACTGCAAGCAAACAAAAAAAGGAGAAAACAAGCGACAGATATAAATATGTATTCTTAATTCCTGCTTTTAATTCGAACGCTGAATTAAATCACGTAGTTAATCCTTCGCCACTAGCACCGTTTTTTTCAGCTTCATCTTTTACTTGGTGAAAGCTCAGTGTTGCAAATTTTTTTTTGTTTGTTTCTTGTTTACACTATTTAATCAATTGAACTTTGCATATTTACATTTTGTACGTATTTGTGTTGAATAAATAGCCATTCATTCGACATACAAGTTCTGGGGTGAATTCAAAAGTGAATTATGTCAGCGTCAGTCATTTGGGGCCCCCGTGAGGCCGGTGTGTGCAGACGGAACTACTACTAATAAAGAGCTTTCCAACAAGGACTTTCGAACTCTGACAATCGATAGGAATCACACGTTGAAAGGTAAGACCTCGTTAGTCCTTAGCACAAGTTTCTCAACTTCCGAGAGTTGTCGTTTGTATGGGGGCGACAGCTAATTAACGAAAAAACATATTTTGAACAAATTTTTTTCAAACAGATAACGTCCATCTAGTTGAAGCCACATCTGTCAAATCAGTTGTCATTTATTCGGTCTGTTTTACCAAATCACCATGGACGGATGAGGAATTCAGTATAATAAAATAATAATATTGTTTTATCAAAATGGATTTCATTCGGGCAACACCCATACGTTGACAAAACGCAAGATCTGTCAAAAACATATCCACTGTCTGTGAGAGTGTGCAGGAGAATCCGATGCAGTTGATTTGGCGTCGTTCACAAGAACTCAGCCTTTCGCAGACCACAACATGGTGAATTTTGCGTCGTGAGCCTGCCCCCGTACAAAATTCAACTGAACCAGAAACTGAAGGTAAACGACTATAGAAAATGACGTGTGTTCGCTGAATGGGCTCTGGAGCAGTTGGCAATCTACCCTAGTTCTCATCGAAAGATCATCTTCAGCGATGGGGTCCATTTCTGGAATAGGTACGTGAACAAACAAAATTGTCGAATTTGGGACAATACCAATCCACATGAGATCCAACAGCGTCCAATGCATCCCGAGAAACTCACTGTTCGACATGGATTTTGAGCTGGCAGCGTCATCGGTCCATATTTCTTTGAGAACGACGTTGGTCAGGCCATTACTGTCAACGGCAAGCACTGGAGGTCGATGATATCAAACGAATACTGGCCTCAGTTGGATGATCTGGACACCAACGACATGTGTTTTCAACAGGCCGGTGCTACGTGTCAAACAGCGCAGGTGGTGTAAACTGGCCACCGAGATCGTAGATTTGACCACGTTAGATTTTTTCTTGTAGGGTTTCCTCGAGTTTCAACAAACCACAGCAGTCCTCAAGCGGACATAATCCATGTCATCGGTCAAACATTTGAACGATATTATATTCCACACATAATGGCATCAATTGGTCTTTCAAACAAATGAAAAATTTTGATACCTGGCACACTTTTATTCAAATTAAGAGATATGAAGCGCCTTTGTAATATAAATGAGCGGAAAGACCAATCATTAACGTAACCTACATTATTTTATTTCAAAACGCAATAAACTAACTAATTAATATGCGATACAATTTACTGGAATCGTTAAAACATGAGACGAGAAGGCAAGGTGACGTAATTAAACTGATATTAAAGATCACACCTACTACAACATGTGTTCTATAAGATTGTTCAACGAATTTTTGATGAAAATCAGCGATGTGCAATAAAATACAAACATAATTGAACTACATCGTTTGACATTGTAACCACGTAATAAAATGCTGCAAATTCCTCGAAGAATGAATGATTCAGTGATCAAGCGTCACAAATATAATAATTCAGGAAAGTTCACATGGACCTTGACACTATTCTGTCAGAAATAAAGACCTATTATTTATAGAGATATTTGTATTCTTCCCACAATGGCACCAGCCGGTCCAGAAATAATGCGTTAACATTGACATAAATAATCGCAAAAATGCAGCGTTTGCAATGCACACTCACTTGTTGATTTTTTCCTGTCTCTGTACTATATTAGTAACGGAAACCGTGTCTTTCAGTTGCATTACAAGACCTGCTCTGATCGATTCCACCACAGCTGCACAGCTGCCATCTTCTACCATGTCAAAGCTCTGAAACAGAAAATTAATTACAACATAAATAACATCACAACAAAAATAACATTAGAACAAAAATGAGAGAATGTGAGAATATGTCTAGTCTCCCAAAATATTGATATGCTATTGACCCTGATCTAGTAATGAACATGAGCAACAAAAGAGTGCGTAGCTTTTTTAGGGTGTCAGATTGTAAAATCTCAGTTTGCTATGCACAAAGTCCATTTAGAAGATATATTTAAACAAAATAGTGCGATTTAACGAGACTTCAGATGTAGACAATATGCAACTCTGGCCTGGATTGAACACTGGATCAAAGGAGGCAAGCAACTCCTGGACAAAGATTTACACAAATTATACACAAAGAAATAGAATGGATCCGTACAAACATCAGCTACAATGAAAATGATTGGTACAATATGTATGTATCACTAACAGATAGTGGGATTTTCCAACTATTTTTACATGCCATACTTTGACTCTGAAGAGAGAGTTATTGATTGAGAAATGTACGACACAAATACGTTTCAGAATTGAAGAGTCGAGTAGATAAAGGAGGTAAGTAACATTTTGTCAAAAATCGACTCATCCCTATAGATAAAATGGGTAAGTGATAATTTGTCACTTTACTTTAACTTTGCAGCAAAAATATAAAAAATGAAGAGAATTTGTACGTCAAAAAGGAGATATGTGCATATTTTCTAACACAAGTTTATGAATGAAAGAGGTATCTAACGCACTTGTCCCTTTTATTCACTGAAATTAGTAGATACCTCCTTTATCGATTAGGTATCACAGCTTTACCCACACTTGTCTCCTTTATCCACTAAAATAACAGGTTAGTAGTTGAACGTCAAACAGTGCAAGTGTGTTTTCTTTTAATTTTGATTCGATAATAAAATCGCTTTTCTTTAATACTGATTACCTTATTTTCGAGAAATAAATTGATTCTGCAGAAAGCAAAAGAATTATTCAGATCAACTAAAAATTAGGGTAAAAAATTTTGGTGAAAATGGGAATTTAAAGGTTTACCAAAAATTCGTTATGAAGCCTGGATAAAGAACAGCGTGATTTCACAGAACGAGAAGGTGAGTTTTTGAAAGTAGTGTAATAACTTGTATTTTATCACGGGAGTCAAAAATGTCTGGATATTATCAATATGAATATACCTTGAGCCATAAGTTATTTTACACTTTTTCTTTTGTGTTTCTTAAAGCTGGCCCATCAAGATCCTGTCACATAAATCCCAAAGGCAAGAATTTTGCTTTTTAATTGCAGACTATCTCACTGATTCCGAAAATGAACCTTATCAAGCAGGTTCTGAAGATGATGAATTTATTTCTGATAACTTGTCTTACGACTCTTCGGATACAGATGAATGTCAAACACCAAAAATGGTATTGATGGTATTAATAGTACCATCAATTTAATTCAAAGCGATGTAGCTGCAACTGAAAATAAAAATAAAGATCTAACAAATAAAAACAGACAAAAAAAACAAAAGTGTTTAAACTAGACGAAAAATCAACAATAAAGAAACACAAAAAAACAAATATGTGGACTAAAAATATTACAGCAATAGTAAGGTGACCAAAAAGGGAAAATAAAACCAAAGAAGACTGTGAATTCAGAAACGCTTTGTGAAAATAACTGCAAGAAAAATTGTGGTGATAAATTGAAACCAGAAAAAAGAAAAAACATATTCATCAAATTTTACATTTTAGATTGAAATTAAAAACATATTACTTTATTAAAGTATCCCTTGTAAAGTAACTGGAAGGCCGTACAAAAATGATGCTCGTCACAAGTCTGCCTCTTTAATATATAAAGTAATCATTAATGATACAGAGGTGACATTATTCAAAATAGCATTTTTTTCTTCGTATCAAATTGGCAAAAATGAGGTGGAATATCTTCAAAAAGGCATTAAAGAAGGTTTTCGTGCACCCAATAAACGAGGTAAACATTATAATCGGTCTCATAAGATACCAGATGATATATAACAATATGTGATGCAACATATCAAATTATTTCCAGCAACAAAGTCTCACTATTCAAGAAACAAAGATGTACAAATTGTACCAAGAAAAGTGTTTGAAAGAAAATGAAGATTCTCGTTTTAATATAAAATATTGTGATATTGTGGACTGAATCGGGTGCAGGTCAAAATAAAAACTTTTGAATGATATGTTTATACCAGTACTCAATATTTAAGTGCACAGTGAAAATTATTGAACATGAATTTCCTGAAATGGGCCATAGTTATTTAGATCCAGATCGCGATTTTGGGTGCATTGAAAAAGTTTCACGTCAACACAAAAGTATACACTTACCTGACGATTATCGAACTATAATAAGCCAATCAAGACATCACAGTTATGCGTCAACACTTTAGGACATTTTTTGATTTAGTTAAATTTAGTTAATGGTAGAAAATACACACTAAATTTGAGACGGATTGAAATGGATACGTGTCTGCAAATATGGATCATACTACCCATGTTGTTTTCTAATCTTATGATAAAGTTTATCTGGAAAACTTTTAGTATGAATACCATTCTTCTCCAATTAAAGCTGATTTGTTTCGTGTAAAAATACTTAATGGATAAAAGAGGTAACTGCACCTTTTTTCATAATTTGCTTTTTTTGTGAATTTTATTAAATTTTAACTAATGTTAGAGAAAATGTTTCTTCATGAGCCAAGAACGGGCAAGCTTTCAAAAAAAAAACAAAATAATTAAACGAATGCAAACAAAAACGGTTTTTGAAAATTCAAATTGATTTTTCTCCATTTTAATATTTTGTCAGTTACCTCCTTCATCCACTCGACTCTTGAATTATTGAACAAATTTGTGGATACTGGATCTGTTAACAATAAAAAGCATAACCATTCAAGAGTTGTCAATGTTGTAATGTAGTTTAAGGGTACGTTGGACTAATCGAAAATTCACTATCTCTTACAATGTTATCTCGAAAATCAGGAATCAGTCATACGAATGTTTTCAGGATCCTTCATTAGTAGAAATGTCATCCATCCACAATGGATAAACGCAGGATTTTACATTGCTGCAGCCTTTATCATAAAATCCTAGCACTGAAGAAACCTTCATATTTGTATAATAAGATAAAATTCAGACTTGACCAGCACAATATCAATGTACGTAATAAAAATAACATTACAATTCCGAAACATAAAACCTCGTTGTTCAAATCATCATTTTCGTATAATTTAGCTACCCTTTATAATGCTATGCCCAATGATATAAAACATATGTCAATCTATTCTTTTCGGAAAAAACTGAAACTGATTGTACTTGATGGTTTAGATCTCCATTTTTTTGAATAATCATTACTGTGCTGATATCATCTATGTAACTTTGAACAATATAATTATCATTACTTGTCGATATATATTTGCAAGTGCCACAAAAAATTTAAATATTTCCAATAGGATAGTTAGAAAACTTTATTTGTTTTTCATATTTTCATTTTCTTTTTTTTCATTAGTTAATTATATATAAGATTAGACTAGTTCATGAATTGATCGAAGATGATTTCGATAGACGTATCGAATTTTGTGAACTGAACGGATCAACTTGCATCAGAATTTCTTGTATAAAATTTGTTTTTCGGATGAATGTACGTTTAGTTTGAATGGAGAGGTGAATCGGCAAAATTGTCGATATTGGAGTAATACGAATCCTCATTTATACCGTCAAGTTCATACCCAACGACCTCAAACACTGAATGTTTGGGCAGGAATTTTAGGTGACCACATCATAGGACCTATTTTTATCGATGATAATGTGACTAGTGTATATGTTGGATAATCGAATAATACCGTGCATCAATAGGGCAATTGAAGAGGATATAAATTTATTCGAAAACAAAATAGTTTTTCAGCAGGATCTTTCCATTCAAGAAACCACAATGCTCTTCAATACTTTGGGAAAAAGTTATCCCCGTTTGGCCAATATTGATCTATTCGACACTGAAGTTTCTGCATGTATTGTTTTCTGGTCCATGGCTTGTTTTTGTAGTTTGCTGAAAAGAATGGAGTCGATAATATCCACCTTGTAATTGTTGTTAACAGCGGTTTGTTCGATGAATTTCAGCTCTCTCTGAAAATTACTTTCCGATAGTGGAATTCAATAGTATGTGGAGCATACTATTCAACTGCCAGTCATGATAACTGACAGTTATGTTCATAATAAAGCTCTAAATTTGTGACATGGACAGTCAGTCAATTGTATTAGAATTCGTAAAACAAATATTTATGAACTTTTCATTCAGTTTTTTCGACTACTTCAGACTATTCGACGATTACGGAACTACTTCACAATTTATTCGACACTTTATTGTGAGATTTTCACTGTGCAGTTTACAAAACCACAACACGTTTCGCTATACCTACAATTGCTTTCTCACACGTTTTTATACTCACATACTTCACCGCATCACTTCATAATTCTCAAAATAAAATATATGTTAGATATTTGAAAACAATCATCTTTTATAATCATAATCTCTGCGAAAGACAAATTAGAGGCCAACCTAAATTTTCTCATCTGCTTCTAATGGAGAGGGATTAATGAAATTGTAGAAAAAGCTTGGGATGAATTTCTATCACGTTCTTCAAAGACACGTGGAGTGTGAGCCGAACTTCAAATAGATCACTTCTATATCTTGATAATCGCTGGGTAAATAATCCTTATCTCATTGTCATTGCCGAATTATATTTATACTTATTCGAACTATGAACAGACACGGAAAATTAAAACTTCACAAATAAAAATATTGTCAACATTGAAAAACACTTACCTTATCATGTTCGTTCGACGCGAAAAACCCATCAGGCTCGCAAGTGTTCAACCGTCTAAATATAGATTTTTTGGCAATCAAAATACCTGGAATAAATAAATAATCGCTGGTGAACGAAAACGTGTATAAAATATAAGGTGCTTCCTCACCTGGTGTTTGAACTCCGCCTATGAACTTGTGACCGGAAAAATAAACAGCGTCTTTGAACGCAGAGTGTTCTTCTACTCCTGGAATGGAAGGATTCATGTCTATGAGTATGCTGGGAGCACCAATATTGAAGTCCCAAAACGCCTGAGCGCCATATTGATGAAGAAGTATCGTACAGGCTACATCGTCTATTAGAATACCAGTTACACTAGAAGCTATCGAGAAGCATCCTATCAGCTGCCTTCCGCAATTCTGGTGGAATCTCAGTTGGTTTTCAAGTTCGGTTAAGTCTAAGTGTCCTTCTTTGGTTTCTTGAATTCGCACTATCTGTAACAAATATATACTCATTGGCGATTAAATTTTCTAAGAAATGTGACCTTAAACATTTAAATTATGTATTCAGCACCAAACCTGGGAAGGTTGTAACGTTTCATGCTATTCAATAATTTTCAACAAAACTGATTATCAAAAATATAAACATATGGATAACCTAGTTGGTAGGTCTAAACAGTGTATTCAAGAGTTGAATCATGAAGGACGAAGTCAAAGTTTGACCGCCTTTAGGAGCATCATTGATATTTGCGGTTTGAATCTTTACTTGATTACATAGATAGCGTTTCCGAAAATGAGGAGTACTCCAGAACATCATTCACAGATACCCTAGTTTTTCTTAGAGGTGACAGTATCTTTTTTCTTAATCTCTTTTTGCAATTCAATTCGTTCAACTGTTACGCGGTTTGAATGAGATTGCTGATCTTCTCCTTCCACGTTGCTTCTTCTTAGAAAGTTTCGCAATGTAGCACACCAATCTGTTGTACAGTTTGTGCGGCTGATGGTGTGCCGAATGTACTAGTCTTTCGATAACTGCCACGTTTTTTGCTGCTTTTCGCTGCCTTATGGAGTCCTTTTTTTTTAATTTCTGAAAAACACTGCAGCCTCATGAACTTATTGCATTTTACCTCTCATCTTTTCATGACGTGCTTTCTAAGAATTTTACTTCCTGTTTCTACAGGTTCTTTATTGGATGTTAGTCTAATTCTACTGGACATCATTTCGATAGTCTAGACGGGTTCGCAGGACTCCTTGTCAGTGGCAGAAATAAGTGAGGGGAACTGAAACCCCCCAAAATCCTTTGCAAAACATGCCACCGAGGAGCAGCCTACCCAAGCTAAGGTGTAAGAAATCATGCCGACAGCTGAATGGCCGCAGGGTGATATGTGGCCACGAACGATCCTCTTGGGGAACTGGGGAAACCTAATTGTGATCAGCCTACCTCTGGTAATGCGAGGCTCTGCCAGAAACGGAAACAACAAAAACAAAAACCAATCCCGAGGCTGGACAGAAGTGCTCACCTCAATCTAAGGCGGTGGCTGGGGATGAACAGAAATGTCCACCCCAATCTACCGCTTGGAATGAGGCTGGACATAGCAGATCTCATCCAATTGCAAGGGCACTTCCTGCGGCCGCGCCAAGGGCTCGACTTTGAATACAGACAAGGAACCGGCTGCCCCTGCAGGAAAGCTCCCTCACTTGTGGACCTCCAAGGGAACCGCAAGAGAGTTGGAGAAGCCGCGCAGTAATATCGTTGCATCTTCCAAAACCTTCGCGGAGGCCACCGTGAGACACCTCAAGGTTGCCAAATAGAGTGTGGGTTCGACGAGTCTTGGGCTACACCTGCCAATATAAAGGAGATGTCTCCTAGTGACCTGTTCACCTTCCTGGAAAGGACAGGATGGACGATGACCTAGGAGGACAACTCCTCGAGAGGATGTACAATGGTTCTTCATTGCCTGTGTCCAGTATAGAATAATTCTATTCTGTTCCGCCACAGTGTTTCTGTTCTTCACAGCATTTTCAGGCTGGCTGCCTATGATGATATTGATCCGTTGATACCGCGAATCAATATTCTTTGTACAATAGAAAATCGCATACCCTTCCGTCTGAAAAACGGATCTATATTGACTGACCAAGTAGCGAATGTAAATTTCTGCTTTAAATTTCTTATTTCAGTCCCCGTGACATATTCGGTTTTCAATCATACTGCAGGGTGTTTCTGCCAAGCATGTTATCGAGATGACATCCACTTCTCACAGTTTGTGAAATTTGTGATGAAAGTGAACTTACCTAGGTCCATGAACAGGTTTGGTTTTCGTTCACCAAATGCTTCAAATTTCAATGTTGCCCCCCCTGTATTTCAGTAAATTTTCCGGCCTAAATCAGTCAACCTTTGCTTCCTCCATCATTACAAGATATCAAGGAGTGAGATTCAAAAGTATCTATATCATAAACTGTTTTGAGTAATTTATTTTGCTTTGAATACTCTAAAAATAGCCAAGGACTTGCGCCCTGCAGAGTTGACTGCAATCATTTGACTCATCTTTAACTACAAAACTACATTCTGAATCTAGAATCACTCCCATAAATTCAGCTTCCTCTTATCTCCTCGCTTCAGAAATTCAGAAGTTAGTCCAACTATCTCCTCCATATTATAACAACCAGACTGCCCCTTCGTAACGGTACCACTACTGTTTTCCCCATAATGGTTTGGCACACTAATCTTTCTTAGCATGGAGTCTATGACTCAATACTGATACTTAGTATATAATAAGGCACATGTACCTTGACAACTCACTTCAATTGGCTTATCCCTTCTGAGTTTGTCACGAGTTTGAACATTTTTTGGCAATGCGATTCTTCAGAGTTTGAAGTACACAAAGGGTATTATTCTATCGTCTCACCTTACTTAATTTCCATTGGTGAATTTGTTATGTCATGAAATATCCTGCTTCCGTATATTTTAAGCTACTTTATCAAAGCCAGAGGTTTTGAACTTTACTTATGTCTCAGGCGTAACTCATGTCTTTCACTAACACAAAGTTATACTATGAAAGGGCTGACCAGTTACTACCCATGATAATAATTGAACAATTCTAACAAACGTTTTTCATTTCCAGATGCGTTTTGTTAACACCGTAGCTTCCTCGGTGGAAGCTACCAAGGAAGCTACGGTGTTAGCGAAACGCGTCAAGAAAATCGTGAAAATTGTTTGATTATTATCATGGACAAAGTTATACGTTTTCTAGTTTATAAAGTGTGTAAAAGCCAAATAAAATAAATTCATTATTTCGGTTACGTTACATATTTCAACAAAATCCCAAAACACATAAAATTCAAATTATAATTTGACATAGACCAACAGAAAAATGCTACACTTACCTTCAACCCCCTTTGAATGACAAGTAAAACCCCAATTTTTTCGATAGGAAGTATAGGTTTGTGATATTTCGTTTGAAAGGTCTCTTCATTCTTTATTCAAAAATGTTATCGCTTTTAAGTTTATTGCAACAATTAAGATTAAATGAATTAAAATCATGTGATTACCGAAATTCGATAAGATACACTCAAAAACTAAAATATAATGGAGTGGTTGAAGGTAGGGGTGGCATTTTCACTTTGAAGAATGTCAAATTATCATTTACATTCGACATGTTTCGGGATTTCTTCAAATAAGTACAGTAGCCGAAGTAATGAATTTATTCCACTTGTCTTTTACAAACTGTATATCACACTGTGAAGTGAGCAATCACCTACAGTGCCAAAAAATAGCTAAGTATTGTTGAGTATTTTTATCCGTAACATACAATATGATCGTGGAAAATTTCACCGGGAAACTACATATGAAAGCCGTTCTATCAATAATATCGTACTAAAAAGTGAAGTTGAAGTATTCCGGCTTGGCAGACGTTCAAATTTGTTAACCGGTTTGTAAACATGTTAATTAATAGCCGATACGTCTAATGATATGACAAAATAAATTCGAAAAGTGAATCATCCCCGGAATCGGGTCATCCAAGAACATTTTATTTCGGTTATTGATAGAAATGTGAGTTTCATTGTTAAATTTGTCGAGAAAAGGTTTAGCCTCATGTTTTGATATTTCAAAAATCAGTTATTTATGTATACGAGGTATTGTTGAAGAAGGCATAACATTTATTATCTTCACAACAAATACGAATCCCAATTTAGAATAAAATGAATGTCTGGAATAACAAGGAAATGATTTTTTTCGTTTACTCTGATAGGAATTACATTTTGACGAATTTCATTATAATTATTGTATTATCATGTGGCGATCATCATATTTAATGATGAGATGTAGGAGATTGATCCTAAATTTAAAAATTACACAATTCGACAGACAGACAGAAACTGTCGTAGTATTTCGTTTATAGTTTCTACCGTATCAAACACCATTTCAGCCAATTCAGGAGCGCTATTCATTCCTGTTGCATTCAATTCAATTTATTTAGAAAATTTATAAAATTCAGTTCAGTTGACACAATTCTCGCTAGGTTTTGAATCCTGTCGTGGAAATTTTGTATGCGACAAACATTTATATTGAAAGTTTTAAAACAAATAGTAAAACAATGTTATTTTTAATAATGAATTAGTGAGAGTAGAAAGGGGAAAAAACTGGATGAAAGTTATGTACTTGTAAGACAACTGGGATTGTGATATAGGTAATTTTCAGTTCAAGTAAGTAAACCAGGCGAAGCTCTCTGGCTTACAGAGACAGGCTTGTCTGGCCATCAGTGGGGCCATCAGTACCACACCGTAAGCGGCCATGGAGATCCTTCTAGTTCTACCTCCTCTACACATTTTTCTTGAAAGAGAGACTGCATACAGACTTGCGCACATTGTCAATTGCACAAATCAATTTAATGCCGATTGCAACATACTGCTAGTTGACACTGGAAGTCACAGCATTCTGGAAATGACCCCTGCCTCCAACTGTCAACTATTATTATTATTATTATTACAAATAAATGAAGGCTGAGGACAAAGTCCTATGTAAGCCTAAAAACGAAGGATATTAACAAGTTAATGCAATGCATGCAAAAAGAAAAGAAAAATAATTAATATATGCATAGAGGCGATTAAGCAAATGTTTATTTTGTTTTTGAAACTGTTCATTGAGTCGGAATTCATAACATCGTTGGGTTAGTTATTCCATGTTTCGAAAATACGATTCACCAAAAAATATTGTCTCTGCTTCGTTGCGAATTGTTGTTGAAAACAAAAAGTTCTTTCTGATTAGCATAGTTATACTTAGCTATACGGAAAGATATGATGAGATTTCCACGGAGTCGACGTTGGTCAAAAGCTAGCAATTGTGCCATCCTCAGTCGTTCGGGATAGGTTGGACACACTTCACCAAATGTCATACGTGTGGCTCGACGCTGTACATTTTCCAACAAGTCCCTATTGCGCACCAGAACAGGACATCACACAGAACCTGCATACTCCATGATTGGACGAACGTAGGTTTTGTAGAGTTTTATGGAACTTGTATATGATAGATGAAGGAACGTTTTGCGGATGAGGTAAATCAGTGTATTTGCGCGTTTGCATGTGGATATTATATATGTTCGGATCAAGTTAAGTCAGTATTAATAGTCACTCCCAAGTCTACATATGAGGACACTGTACGTAACGATTGACCGCTTATTGTGTACGCATGAGGTGGATTGTTCTTTCCTTGTCGACGTTAAGAGGTAGAAGCCAATCCTCGCACCACTGACTAATCGAGTTGAGGTCTTCTTGAAGGGAATGATGTTCGACTAAGGCATTTCCATACAGTTTAGTGTCATCGGCATAAAACGAATGCTGGAGGTTATGTGAAGAGCAAGATCACTTGCAAAAACAACGAAGAGGAGCGGGCCAAGAACAGATCCCTGGAGAACTCCACTTGTGACTTGTCTGTGCGAAGAAAAAGAGTGACCCACTTTGACCGTGAAAGTTCTGTCTGTCATGTAATATTCAATTCATAGGTTTAGTTGGCCTCGAATACCATGTGTGTCAAGTTTGTGCCATTAGCCTTCTCACTGGGACCCTGTGATAGATTCCATTACTTTTGAAGATACGGTAGTACCTTAACTACCTAGGTAGTTAATTGGATTGAGTTTATCGCCTTTTTGAAAATAGCGGTGACAGATACCTTCTTCCAAGCCCGTGGGATGCGAGATTTTCCGAAAGAGACTGACATGATTGTTGACAACGGAGAGCAGAAAGTTTCGGCAAACTTTTCGAGAAAAAAGGGGCTCATTCCATCCAAACTAGGAGATGAATTCGATTTAATGTTCAATAAATGATTTTTAATGTTTTCCGAAGTGAACGTCACATTAGTGAGATCATCACGTAGTCGTTCTGCTATAATTTTTGGTAATTGGTCATCTCTAGGCTCAACCATGAAGGAGCTTGTGAAAGAAACGGCCAAAATCTCTGCTGCCTTATAAAATACTGTTTCCGGGAGAAGAAAATATTAATACCAGATAGTTGTTGGTTCACAGATGGATCAAAAACACCTTCCGGTTTTAGTGCAGGTGTTTTCAATCACCGACCCAGGACAGAAATATCAACCTACCTAGGAACCTACGCGACTGTATTTCAAGCGGAAATTTACGCTATTGAATTGTGTGCGGAGAGATTGGAAGAATCCAACCTCATATACAAGTCAATAAAAATATTCTCGGACAGTCAAACGGCGTTGGTAGCTCTTAGCTTCTAGCGAGCAACGTCTAAATTGGTAGCAAATTGCCAAAAACGACTCTTCTCGATAGGAAGACTTAAAAGATTGTCTCTGATCTGGATTCCTGGCCATACTGGCCTGACTCCCTTGCAAAAGAGCTTAATCGAACCAGCTTAATCGAACCAGATCCTGTCATTGGCATCGCTTTAGGCTCTGCCAAACAAAGATTGAACACCTGGATGGCAAGAAGATTTATGGACTTCCGACAGAATCTTCCAGGATTGGCTCACTCCAAGGCGTTTATTCACCCTTTGAAGCTTGATACCAAACAGTTGTTGGACTACAGTAGGGATAAACTACCTTCTTCTTACAGGTCACTATCATTTGAATCGTCATATGCAGTGACTGGGATTGTCGGAACATAGTGTGCGTTGCCTCTGTGTGGAAAATAATGAAACAGCAGAGCACATACTTTGTGCTTGCCCCACTGGAGACCAAATCAGGTTCTCAGAGTTCGGCAGAGCCGTACTCTTACCATCTGACCTAAGAGACCTTCGTTAAGAAGCTGGGTTTATTCGGTCGAGTGTGGATATGTGTGGCCACAATAAACCCTTGGAGGTTGCGGTGGAGTGTCGAATAGGCCCACTCACTTTTGATCTAACCTAACCTAAGTACGATATCTGAAGTAGGATTTTTCAACATGAATATTTATATTTTCGTTCCGAAATGTTTGAAATTATATATTCCTTTGAGATTTTTGAGGAGAACATTATATAAGTCGAACCCATAAAAACAGAAAAGAGTTTTCGAAAGCAGTTTTATGAAAAAATTGTTTTCTGATATTAGAATTGGTTTTCCATCTTGTATCTTTTGGCAGTTGCAGATATTTTTTTCATGTTCATAAAATTATCATTTGGGTTTCTACGTAAAGTTGTTTCATTGAAAAGTGTCATTTTTTAAACTAATTTTCAGTTTTATATTTTAAGCAGTGAGGTAGTATATGAAGAATATAACATAAGTGATTTTTTTTCGACAAAGTGTCAAGTATATCATTTTTTCCATTGAACGACTACTCCAGATATTTTTATTTGTTCATCTTCTGACAACCCTAGTTTAAAGTAATGTTCTTCGTCAGCAAACATTATCGTCGGATTGAAAAAACCTTCATATAGTGTAACTAAACCTTACCTTCGCTCCAGTTTTTTGCCACAAATTCAAATTGTCATGATGCTCAGTAGAACCAGTGAAAATTATTGGTGCCTCCCGAAGATCAAGGGCAGATATTAATTTTTCTAAAGCGTCTGTGCATCCATGACCGGAAAATATCACCGCGTCTTCTTCTGTTGCATTCACGGCACTTCGAATGATGTCTCTCGCTTCTTGCCTAGAAAAAAAAAGTAACCTCAATATGAGCACATTGGAGGTGAATAAATGTATTTCAGAAATGAGAGATCCTTCTGGTCAGGTGGAAAAATCCTGTTCGTTCAATCATACTAATGTATCAGATTGTTTCAATAAATATTTATTCCACTGTGCCAAGGTATATACTGATCGATACAGAATTTTGTACTCTATACATTCGTGCTCTCAATTTTTCTCAAATTTCAATGTTTTGCCTCTTTCAGCGTATGATATCTTTGAACGATTATCGGCAACATTTTTTTCTACAAATTCAAATCTCCCTACAGCGCTGTTGAAAAATTAACCGGGCATTTGGCAATGATAGTGTTAATGAACGCACTGTTTGACGTTAGTTTGCGAAACTTCGTTCCGTAGATTTCAGCATCGAAAATGAGCCCCGAAGTGATCGACCTACAGTAATCCAGAATTAGGATTTGAGGACCCTGGGGGAGACTGTTGACCAATCACAAACAGAGTCCTATTGTGCCGAAAATTGGATCAGCAGCAGCCGGCACTGGTCGACAGAAGAGGTCCGATACTGCCGAATGGAGCGTTGATGTTCTGCCTCGAACACCATACTCTCCAGACCTCTCGCCAACCGACTATCATATTTTCAAGCACTCCGTTAACTTTCTCACCGGTAGAACCTTCGTCAATCAGAACTAGGCAAAACGGTTTTCGTCGACTTCATCGAATCCTGAGCACGCAGTTATGCTGACAAAATTAGTTGACTCGTGTTACGTTGGCAAAAGTGCACTTATTGAAATGGCGATCATTTCGATTGAATCGGGTAAGTATTTATTACAGTTTAAAGTAGACTAATGAAAATGGACAAAATTTTTGGAAGAACATTATAATTGATTCTGTTGAGAAGAGAGAATTTGAAAATTACTTGAACACAAACAGGGTTGGCAGGTTCAAACCAACATGCTTGAAACCATGGTTTAAACCGACTGGTTTAAAAAAACTGTTTTTTTATTGGGTTTTTCTCTCTATGTTCTTGATATTATTCTGATAATGAAAACCACAGCTCAATAAACTAAAAAAATTGATATTTGAATTTTAAAATTAAAATTTCAAACAAGACTCAACCTCTAACGGAATAATTAAAAGAACTGTAATTTGACACTAGTAATATTTAAATTTTTCTTCGTTTTGTTATTTTTTCAATACACATGCCGCAAATGAAGATGAATAAATTGTATTTTTGTAATTCCGAACTTTGTTATTTTCAATATTATTACGTTTGAAGATGTTTTTTTTTTGTTAAACTAATTTTTTGTTTGTGTAAATAAAAATAAAAGTTGTCTTAATCATTTTTTCCATTATTTATTACTATTATTTCATAAAATAATGTATTAATTTTCAAAGTATTCAGACTTATAATACTTTGTATCGATGAACCTGGTTTAAATCAAATAAACTTAGTTTGAACGAAGAAACCTGTTTCTTTTTTGGTTTTTTGGAGAAAACCTTTTTTTTGCCAACCCTGAATACAAATATGTTCAATTTTGCTACTGTTCTGTAGATCAAAAAGCACTACGATATGGTCCGAAGCTGAATAGAAATGAATAGTTTCATTTTTCTCTCACTTACATTCATGGTTGTGTCTAGATCTGAGAAGATACGCAACACAAGCTTTGCTTAGGCGTTTCCCAAGAACTGAACATCACCAATTATTTATTGTTATTCATTTTTTTTAATTTACTGTAATTATTATTAAGATATTATAGACAAGAATGAGTATCTGAATTGAATGAATTGATTGATTCTGGGTGCAGGATGGTTCTGAAGTGAAATTTTTTAAGTCTCATTCATTCTCCTCCATTGAACAAGGCATACCTGGCTGTTTTCATTGATTGATTCTGGGTGCAGGATGGTTCTGAAGTGAAATTTTTCAAATCTCATTCATTCTCCTTCACTAAACAAAGCATACCTGGCTGTTTTCAATAGATTCGTTCACAAGTGTTCGACAAACTTATATATCTTGTTTCCATATAGAGCGATTCATGCCAAAAGTACATGGCAAAGTGCAGCTGCTCATCATTTCGAGATTCAACCTAATACACCTTGAACCACACGTTTTAACAATTCCCTCATTTGAAGAATATACTTTCCAAAACGGTTTTTCCAGATAAATATAATCTGCACAGGTACAGAAACATTTTGAAGATTTTAATACAATGTTTGTACATTTCCATAAAGAAGTTTTCAACGCTATAATGTTTTCTCACATATTCAAGAGTGATATCATGTAAATGATGGCATGAAAATTTATTATCATTAGGTGAATGAGGAAACTTCTGTATGAATAACAAATAGCATGCTAATGCCAAGTATTCCATCAAAGTGACTTAATATTGCGTGGTTATCAAAGAGATTCATTAACGAATTATTGTGTGTGCTCTTATAATTTTTGGGTGATGGTAGTGTGCAATCGAAAACATAATCAGTTTTTTATAACTCATCGCCCGCTTTTAGAAAGCAGGAAGTTAGGCGAAATTGAAGAAAACTTTCTTGAGCAGCAAGTTCAACGATGTAATTGTAATGTAATCAAGTGAATGTTGCAAATGTAAATTTATTCACTTTTCGAAGCAGGAAACTCCATTTTTGATGTGTGTATTATTAGGATGCGTAGGTTAATTCCAATTTTATCGCCTGCTTGGTTTTTGATAGATGTAAACATTCTCTTTTCGTCTCAATAATTGAAGAGTTAAAAATAGTTCGTAAATTCGTGAATAGCAATAATCTATAAATATTACAACTTCCTTGGTGTGAGATTTCAGATATTTGCAGCTGACAGAAAGTTCTTTGGGTATTCTAATATCTTCGAAAATGCGCGATAGAAATTAAGTGGAGGAAATCGAAACTAGAGTTTTCCAATTATTGTTGTTCACTGTGCCAGGAAATGAAATGAAAATAGGTTGTATATTATGACCAATAGTTTCGGCTTCTAATATGTGTAAATTCATTTTAATTGATGGGTACAGTGAAAATGATACTTTATTATGTAGTATTACGTATATAATTTCATCAAATATTGAAAACATCAGTATAATCCAGGACTATTGAATTTATTCTGCTGATAAAATAGTAGCCTGCCAATTTTTTACTGGGTCTTCATTGTATCGTAAAGAACAACAACTGGAACGTTGAAGCAAATTTAAGTTGAATACTTTGAATACTCGAATGATTTCACCATAAACGCTTGTGTTCCCCAGGGATCCATATTGTCTCCAACCCTCTTTTTAATGTATATCAAAGACCTATTGGAAAAAACCAATAATCCAATATATTGCTTTGCTGACGAGAGCACACTTGTTCCGTCATTTCATCTGGGATCTAGGACATCGGCATCTTCACTGGCAGCAGAAGATTGCATATCTTAATAAGGATCTAGAAGTGATTTCGAATTGGGGTGAAAGTAACCAGGTTCAATTCAATGCCACACAAAAACCCAGGCATCGGTTTTCTCCAACAAGAAAAATGCCTCCGAACCGGATATAATAATGTCAGGTCAGACAATGTCTTGGTACAATCATGTCGCCGGAATTGCGAAGGCTGCTTCTCAAAAGACTGGAACACTGTTCCGAACCAAAAAACTGTACCCACCTAAGCAACTTTTGATGCTTTAGAAAGGTCAAACCAGACCATTTTTGGGGTATTGTTCTCATGTATGGGGCTCTGCAATTAAACATACACTGAAGTTGCTGGATTCCATCCAGAAAAAAGCCATCCGCCTAAATGGAGACGCAAACATCACATGCAATCGTGATAGCCTGGAACATCGAAGAGAAGTTGTGATTTATCTCTATTCTATAGATACTTTCACGGGAAGTGTTCAAATGGTTTGGCACATCTGATTCCACCAAGAGCGGTACGCGACGTTTTGAGGTTCAAATCAGTACAACTCGAACTTCACTGTTTAAGAACTCTTTCATCTGGAGAACTGCGTTCATGTGGAACACACTTCCTGAGAACGTTTTTCCAAATAGATTTAATCTTCAGCGATTCAAATCCAATGTGAATCGCTACTTTCGCACAGGCACCGCTCTGGGAGCGCTTTAAGGATTTTCCTGTAGGGTTTGTGTTTTGTCCTTAAAAAAAAGACTGCCTTTTTGCCTCAATCTGTCTCTTACAGTACGAAAATTATATTAAACAGATGAGAAAAAATTATGATAAAATATATAAAATCACAACCTTGACAACACTGTTTTCGTTTTAATGCATCAATATTTCTGAGAATTCAGTACCTACTGTTATGGAATTACACTATAATTAGTAAAGGAGATTACGCTGAAGTGTGGGAAGCCTTTAAGTATCGCCTAACTCCAAACCAAATTTCGGTACCTTAGTATTCCTCAACTCAGATATGCTCTCCATTGAATTTTCAAAGTTATCTGGTGTCTGGTTCACCAGAAACGTCTAATGTTGCCATCCACCGTGAATCATCCTGTATAGTGTGTGCACATCGATATTTTGATGCAATAAGTGTACAATCCCAGGCTTTCAGAAGGAGACAGTGTTAACAAAAACAGTAAATTCCAGTCAGCTATTGGCCATAGCATGAAGGTTTCTTATTTTGCCTACAACTGTGGTATACATTATCAGAGAAGATGGCGCGATATACTTTATATAGTCGCAGTAAACGATATATGCACATTTAAAGTTGGCGGCACTCTCAAAGGCCAAAAAACCAACACATAGAAATGAACCGGTTGCGAACTAGTCCACGTGTTCAGTTCAGAACTGATCGCCATTTAAGTGTTGAAACTCGATATTGGTGCAGTAATAATTACTCAAAATTTTTGTTATCTGCTTGAAATGTGGCGTCCTTGGACAAGTATTGATAGTAATAACGAGTGTGATAACAACGCAGATTTTTCCTGTGTAGTGATTCCAAAAACCATGGTGAACAATGCGAAAAAGAGATACCAGTGAATAAGATTCGTATACATTCGAATATTGAAACACAAAGAGTAT